CTCAACCCCCACAACTTTAAGATCCTTCTCTGTAGTTCAAAATCGTCTGCCCCTGAAGAAAAATACATAATGCGGGACACAATATGACAGAGAAACCTTTAGCACTATTTTAAATCTTTACTGATTACAAAACAAAGCAGATGGCAAATCAAGTCCTGAACTCTGCATCTGCCATGCTTAATGAACAGTTTAATTACCTAGTCCCATTTCTGCTGCGTCTCTGCCGTTCTGGGCTCGGGGAGTCACATCCTTCGCACTGATCTCTCCGGGAACGGGTGGTATCAACAGTCAGCTGGAGTTGCTTAATCAATACTTGTTTAATCACCAGCTTTTATGGTGATGGCCTAAATTATGTCTCGATAGAAACAGATTTCCTATCGGATCACATGATTTGGTTGAACGCTCAGAAAACTAAATGGAATTTTTCAGCCTCTTCTCCGGGCCGTGGAGAACCCAAAGGCAGAGAAATGCACAGAGGGGGAATAAACACAGGAAAACAGCAGCATCCAGCACGGTCAGATGAATTCCTTCGCTGCCTTGTGCCTTACACGAGAGCAAGGGATGCAATTAGGAGAGTACATCCGTAAAGTCTACAATTTGAGAAGCAAATTGGACTCATTGGGGATAAGTTAGAAGAAGAAAATGAAACCGCACTTTGCATTTTGAGTTCTTGCGTATGGAAATAGGCAAGAGGTTCCTGTGAAGGACCTGGCAATGGCCACCAGCAACCAGGGCATCTGTGCTATGGGCTGTTCCTACTTGCCCTGCAGCTCCCTGCAGTTATGCCAACCTGCTCCGTTGTGGGAAGAAGAAATAACAGTTTTAAGGAGTCATTGAACTGCAGGAGAAGAGGCTGGCAGGTCTGAACCCTGACAGCAGCCAAATGACAAATATAGAATCATAGAATGGTTTGGGTTGGAAGGGACCTTAAAGACCATCCAGTGCCACCCCCTGCCCTGGGCAGGGACACCTCCCACCAGACCAGGTTGCTCCAAGCCCCATCCAGCCTGGCCTTGAACCCCTCCAGGGATGGGGCAGCCACAGCTTCTTTGGGCAGCCTGGGCCAGGCTCTCACCACCCTCACAGCACAGAAGTTCTTCCTAATGTCTCATCTAAATCCAGCCTCTTCCAGTTTGAAGCCGTTACCTCTCATCCTATCACTACAAGCCCTTGTAAAAAGTCCCTCCCCAGCTTTCTTGAAGGCCCCCTTCAGATACTGGAAGGGCTGTAAGGTCTCCCTGGAGCCTTCCTTTCTAAGGGCTGAGTGAAATCACACAATGAGAGGAGGAGCTGACAACCCTAAAAAGATCCACGCAAGCCAACTTCTGGCCCTCCACATCAGAAGGCTTTGGGAACCCTTCATGGTGCCTTTATTGCTTTTCTGCAGCCTCACTTCTCCCGCAGGAGGTCCATTTGTGCCTCCTGAAATAAACAGACCATAGCTTTCTTTCCATTAAACACTGACTCAATGAGCTGCTTGCATTCAGATAATGATTTTCCGAATAGGTTTTTCATTTTGGGAGACCTACATGTCATGTAAAATTTCCTAGGAGATTCAAATTTTAGCCATTCAGTAGCAGAATTGATTGCTCTTAACAAGCCTGTTTCATAAACAAAGACCAGGAGTTGTGTGCAAAGCTCTCAGAAAAAGAGAAATACTCAGGAGCTTAAGGACAACACAGGTCAAACACAAAACTCTGTGGGTAAACATGGCATTCAAAGCCAATATAACAGTAAATCAAACAGGAAAAAGGGCAGAGGTGGACCAGGTCTTCCCCCAGCATTTCAGATTTCTCCCACCACTGCGGCATCAGAACTACCTCAGGTAATAAAGCGGAGATTAAAGACTTCCCTGAAACTCTGAGCAAAGCCAAAGACAGCACAAAGTCAGAGCACCCAGGTTAGTGGGTGTCTAAAAGAGCAAGTGAATGCACCCCTTCCAACATCCATTTGGTTTTCATCGCCTTAAGGGAACAGAGAGACACTTCAGGAGATACCTTTGAGCCACCAACGCCTGAAAGCCTCTAGGGCGTCCAAATCTAGTCTAAGGTTTCAGTGAAAACATGTAGATCAGAAAACTTAAGTACTGCCCTGATTTACAAGGACACATGGGAGAAAGTAAACAACTAAGGTGATCTCAACAGCAGTTTGTCAGCAGGAATAACCAGCAGGTCACAGCTCCAGGGCCAACCTGCTGTCGGAGGTGGCATCCGTTGGGTTGGACCCCTGCAAAGACTGGAGACTGCTGTTCTTCAGATCTGCCAGGGAGTAGTGAGTCACTGAACTACCCTACACTGACAATTGTGCCGATTCCAAACAGTAAACCAACTGGAAAGGCCCAAGTAAGGTCAAGAAAGCCCAAAAGAAGTAAATGAGGCGAAGAAACAAGCAATGGAGGGAGAAGTTAAATGCACTGAAATGGAAATATGAGAGCAACCAAAAAGGAGCGAGACTGTGGCAAGTAGAAAATGAACAGGGATGAACAAGTGAGAGAGGCAATTTGTGAGAGCCAAAAAATATTGTTTGAATTTTGAGGACGAAAATTCAATAGCCATAAAGATAAGCTGAGAAGGAATCGGACTGGAAAAGCACGTACCTCCTGAAGAGAGTGTGTTTACTACTAAAATATTAGGTCCTACTGTTATTGAATGAAGAACAGCTTATCGTTTTCTATTGATCTTTTAAAACATATTCAAAGCCTGAGACTTCCAGGTTACAATTTGAGCCCAAAGAAAGGAGAGCTGTTAGTGCATTAAGCTTGCCCTGTTGAACACCCCTGATGCCTTTCAATCCTTATTTGCTCAGCATCTGGGAACAGACTCCCTGCCCTACTGGAGGGTCAAACGTACACAAATGCAAAAATCACACTATCAAAAGCAATAGCAATTCAATCATATATATAATTGTCTCCCCCAAATTAGATTTTCACAGTCCTATTTAACAAGACAAAGATTCAATAGAGAGAGCTCATCTTTTCCATTCTCAAATTACATAGAAGCACACTGTACTACTGGTGCCACTAATTAGATGATTAAATACCATTCTAGGTGATATGCTTTCAATGTAAAATAATTATTTTTAACAGGCAGTATATTTGCTCAATCTCATTTTAAATCACAGTATCAGACTTTTTTAATTAAATGAAATTCCTCCTCCTGATTTTGCATGAGAAGAGCATCCAGTAGGAGAAACAGTGCCAAGGATAGATTGTCCAAGTACCACAATGCATGGGCTTCTTCACAAAGGACCCCCACCATTCCCTGGATGGAATATAAATTTTCAGAGAACAGCAAAGTCTTTATCCCTTTAAAAGGGGTCAGCTGAGGAATGGTTGAGCACACTGAAAACTTCCACTTGTGAAAACACAAGTTTATTTGCCTTGGTCTGATGAAGGACATTTCCAACTTTTCCTCTGCTCCTCTTCACAGGGAGGAGAGCAAACAAAGCAGAGGCTCTGTCTTTCTATATAAATTAGGGCACAATCCATTACATGACAAAGGACTGTTGTTTTTTTGTCCAGCACTTAAAGAAAAGTGATGATATTCTGTGTTCTACCACAAAATGTGTTGAGGACTGGGAATAAGTTAACAAAGGCAGTATTTTAGAAACCATCTGAGAAACTCCCCTCAGGGCTGAGCAGCCTAGAACGATACTGGTCAGCAGAGGGGGTTGAAAAGGAAGGATTTTTATTGGGTTTGGTATCTACCTGTGTCCTACCCAGCCATGCCAGCACTAAACTGGAATGGTATGGAGGGCTGGCTGCTGCTGGGGGCACTGGAAAGCCTGGGAAGGGATGCCTTTTCTGCTTCCATGGAGTCTGGTCCATCCACACTGGCCACAGGGCCTGCCTTGGTGCAGAGCAGAGAGAACTGAGGTCACTTCTCACTGATGCCACTCTCTGTGGCATCAAATTCTGCAGCCTGAAGCTCTGACAGAATCTGATAGAACTTGTAAAGCAGCTGCCTCATGCTCACAGGAGCCCTGCTTACCCCTCCATACATCACAGACTCTTTGGCTTAACAGGGACAGGGAATTACAAAGAACTGGGCACAGCACAATTAAAACCCATCAAAATGCTTTAGTTGATACTGAAAAATCAAAGCCTAAAGCACAAGCAACAGAACAGCTCCTTTCCCTTTGGCTCAGACACTCCCACACCAGCATCTTTCCTCCCCAAACATGGGGATGTGCCTGGTTCCTTCTCCTTCACTCCAACCTCTTGAGTCCAACCTTCTGAACACACAAAAGCTCCCTCAGGTGAGCAGCTTCAGGACGTCAGGGAGATTGCTCAGACCAGGGAAGTGCTCGGAGGAGTAATCGTGGGATGTGAAGTACCCATCGGTCTGACTAGAGAGAATTATTATTCCCTTTGGGTAAAGAGAGCTCTCAGAATTTAATATAAAGTTTTCAATGCTCTACAGACTTCAAAATTATTGTATAGAATTTCATCAGGAGAGCATACCCGATATAGGATAATGCAGACTTCTTTGATATATCCTATAGAAAGAAATCTTAAAACGCATTTTCAATTTACTGGTCTAGTGCCTACCATTACATTCGACCAGACTTTCAGCATAAGAGGGAGGCGAATCTCTTACTCTCTGTAAATTGTTTTTCCACAGGAACAGTTGACAAGGTGCTGTCGTTCCCTTCTCTTTAGGAAAGGAGGCGATGCAGCCAAAGCCAATATCAATTCCCTTCAGAGCCTCAAAACACTCGACTGACAACAGGATTCAATTCTCTGCCCTCGCAGAAATGCCAAGCCCGAGACGAAGCCAACGCAGCACGAGCCCAGGTGGGGGAACACCAGCAAAGCCTTTGGATGGACTAGACTTTTATTCTAATGCAGCCCAAAAGACAGGTTTCGTGTCTCCTGTAGCACCTACTACGCAAAGACCCCACATCAACTTTGTAGTACCAGTTAGAGGGGTGAACAGAGAAGAAACAGCAAGGACTGCACCTGGAGGAAAGAAATAAGGACACAATATCTAGAATCTCACCTTGGTGAGCAGCAGCACCCGTTTCTGCAGCCGCCTGACCAGGGCTTCGTGCTGCTCTCGCTTCTTCTTCTCCTCTAAGAGCTGGCTCTGAATCCGCAGAATTTCCTCCTGCAGCTGCTGCCGGGCCTTCTCCAGTATTCGGGCACTGAAAAAGAGAACACAGACCTGTGAAACCTTGACCACTGCCTCTTAGTCAGATGAGAAAATCCCAGGAAGAGAAGCATCACCACGATACCAGGACGCCAGGGCTGGTGCCATTTCATCCTGTGGCTGCACCACTGGAAACTGAGTGGCTGCTGCTTTATTATCAGCCATTCCCAGAAAAAGAGAGGAGTCAGATGAGAAAATCCCAGGAAGAGAAGCCAAGGACACCAGGACTGGTGCCATTTCATCCTATGGCTGCACCACTGGAAACTGACTGGCTGCTGTTTTATTATCAGCCATTCCCAGAAAAAGATAGAAGAGAAAAACCACCTCAGTGACAGCCTTGTCCCACGCAAGACACTTACTGACCCTCACATGTACAAAGCATTTAAAGAACCACATCTCTGTTTCAAAATCAACCAGTTTGCTTTTGAGAAGACACCTTGCTTTCAACAAACGACGCACGATCCTGGGTTCTCCTCTATCTTTTAATCTCTTTTTAACAAAGTAGAAGTAAAACTGAGGTTTAATATGATCGGCTTTGACAGAGAGATAATCCTCAGCAAGTAATTACAGCCACCACCTGCACATTGTTCTTGCCAGCAACCTGTATGGGGAGAGAAATGTGGTCTGAGGCCAGGTGATTAGCACTTCTTCTGCAAGGTGGCCACAATTCTCAATTAAGCCAGAATAGCTTGGTCCCTCTTCTTCTCAGCTCACTGTGCAGTGTGACACGGTGACGCATCATTAACAAAGTAGAAGTAAAACTGAGGTTTAATATGATCGGCTTTGACAGAGAGATAATCCTCAGCAAGTAATTACAGCCACCACCTGCACATTGTTCTTGCCAGCAACCTGTATGGGGAGAGAAATGTGGTCTGAGGCCAGGTGATTAGCACTTCTTCTGCAAGGTGGCCACAATTCTCAATTAAGCCAGAATAGCTTGGTCCCTCTTCTTCTCAGCTCACTGTGCAGTGTGACACGGTGACGCATCATCACCCCTGTCTTCCTGGAGATGTTCTTCACGTGTGACCTTCAGGCCCTTGCTCTGCTGCTGGGATGAAGTACGGCGGCAAAGGACTTGATCAATAATGAAATAAGAGTGGAATAATTCTTGTGTGCTAAGAGTCAGTTCATAATTTAAGTGTGACAAGTTTATCCAAGACTGCACTAACTTTTAAGTATTTAAAGAGAGAGCAGGACATGAGAAAAAGAAGCATTGCACACAAGTCAAACCCTCGCCAAGCAAACTAGAAAGATCAAACCCAACATCTCTGGCTTACTCAGGAACAGAAGGTCTTTGTTTCTGTGATGCTAAAAACAATACTGGTTGCTTCAGAGGGGTACTCTTTATCATTATAAAGAAACAAATAAAAATGCTGTTAAATAAAATAACACTATTGTTAAGGTATTGTTTAGAGAGATCTGAAAGGCAACACCGCCTTAAAAGACACTTTTAGTGTAAATTAAGTACATTCGGCCCTGTCAGGTCACTAAATTGTACTTCTTGAGAAATTTAGGTAGGAATTCACCAAAATCCCCCAAGCAACTGTCTCCCTGTATTGTTTAGAGAGATCTGAAAGGCAACACTGCCTTAAAAGACACTTTTAATGTAAATTAAATACATTCTGCCCTGTCAGGTCACTAAATTGTACTTCTTGAGAAATTTAGGTAGGAATTCACCAAAATCCCCCAAGCAACTGTCTCCCTACCTCAAAATCCTCCTCCTTGAAGAAAAATATGCATTTTAAAACACTGGATGAATTAGAAACCTATTTAAAGCTCCAGTTCAATTTTGAACCATTCGCAGACCAATTTAATAATCAGGGACTGTGATAAAGTCTCTTCATTGTCATACTCAGGTGGGAAAGTTCATCAAGAGGGCTTCAAATCTGCATTTGAAAATGGATGATTTCATTCCCAGGGCGGCACTACTTCCTTAGTTCTGTTTTAATTAATCAGTTGAAAAGGGAACCTGTGCCCAAGAGCAGCATCGATGGTGATGGAACATGAAGCGGTGCCAGCCTCACGCTGGATGCTCCTTTCTCCATCCCAACCTCAGCAAACACCTCCAATTCAGCCTCCTGGATAATTAACAGAAACACTTGCCTTTTCCTTATTGAACAATACAAGAATTCCACAAGGTAGAGAATCAACTCTCGTCAGATCCTACAAAATAAATCCATATTAAAAAAGCCACCCTCCAGATGACAAATAGCAGGTTGAGTCCTGGCATATTGTGATTTATGGGCTAAATTAAGTGGTATAACTGAGACATCAAATGTCACAAGCATGGTTCTGAGACCTTACGTCCATCAAATGTGCCAGTCTACCAAGTTTGGAATGGGGTCAGCATCCAACACAGGGCAGAACAGACAGGGGAGACCTGGAAATCTCAACCACTCTCTTAGGATTCATTAGAGTTCAACAATATTGAACAATATTCTTTTTTTTTTTTTTCCTGCACAGGATAAACCTAAGTACAAAAACCTCATCAACTGCATTATAACAAATTAAATGTCGCTACAGAAACCCTACTGCAAATGTTATTTGCTCTATCAAAGGAACATGGTCCTGATTAGAGTCAGAACCAAAGAAAAAAATGCAAACATAAGATTAAATACTACAAACCAGCCAGAGTCTCGTATTTGATTATTGCAAAACATTTTGATGGGACAAGGGAGAAATCTTTCTTTCTTGATCTCACAATATTGTGACCTATTTCTATAAATTCTGAATAGACTGATGGATTATGATTGAGTTGACATTCACAAAGACAAATGAGATATGTGTTGATATAAGGTTTCCATCTTGAAATAATGAAAAATATTTCAGATTCCCATCTCCTGGAGAGCACAGACATTCAGGTGCATAAACACCTCTCAAACTAGGTTGGAAAACACCTTGTTTGGAAAGAACATCGTTGTCTGCTTATATGTCAGCCCCAGATCAAATGTGATATTAATGTAGATAAAATTTAGATGCCAAAGATGTCCATGACAGCAGAGACAACAATAATACTCTCTGAGCTGACTCTGTTACCACAAGTTTCCTTCCTGTAAGAAGTGTGAAATTCACCTTTCTTACAACTCTCCACACCATGCCAAAGCAAATTATTGAGATCGTTTCTTCCTCTCTTATGACAGATTGGTAATTCTTCCAGAAACTGCACCAAATACAAGATAAACCATCTCTATAAGAAAAAAATCCCCAAAGAAAGTTATATTCCTTATTGGCACAAAAGAGGATTGGGAAGTTAGCTGTGGGTGCTCTTCCTCCACACTGATGACACCTATGGCTTTTCAAACGTAATGGCTCACTCAAAAAATAAAATAAAATAGACCCAAAGTTCTCCATTCAACATAAGCTTGGAGAACTGGCATTTTTTTTAAATCTTTGCAAGTTCAAAGTAAACCTTTTAAGCCTTAAAGAGGAAAAGTCATTTCTGTTTATCAGCCTATTAATGTTCCTTGTTCCACATCCCAGTGAATGAGATGCCAACATCTTTCTGCTCTGAGCTGTTGAGGCTCTTCATATTCCTCTCTTCCCTTCTGTAATCCACTTCAATGTAATCTTAATGATAAAACTTCATTTTCCAGAATGTTTTTTGAAAGACCAAGAACAATGACAGCAGAGAGTGAATGCTGAAGCTGTAAGATACATTTTAATAATCTCCTTCAAAAAAGTACAAAAGCAGCTGACAGCTCCCCCCACACCATCAGCCATAAAACATTATTTTAATCATTCCATCCTTTCAGTAGCCAAGTTACCACCTCAGAGGTACCAATAAAATCAGAGGGAAAGCAAAAGGGATGCCAGAACCTGTCTGCGTATCAGGAAAACAAGAGGTCCACAGCGGCAAAGAGACAATTAGAAGAGCAGCGCTGTCTTGGTCGTGTTGGAACTCAGAAGATGAGACACTTCAAGAGGTCCACAGCGGCAAAGAGACAATTAGAAGAGCAGCGCTGTCTTGGTCGTGTTGGAACTCAGAAGAAGATGAGACACTCGCAATATTCCAGGGCCAACTGTCAGCAAGGAGGATGGCATCAAAGAGAAAGCAACAGAACCTGGGGACGGGGAGAACATTGAAGATGTGCCGAGGGAGAGGAGGCTGACAGCACTATTGCACACACATCTCAGCGAACAGAAACAGGCTGCGGCGATCAACGTCGCCCTGCCAGAGTCCAAAACACAAAGGTTAGCACGGGAGCTAATGAGGCAAAAAGGAACAGGGGAAATGGTTTCGTAGCAAGGCATTTGGATGAAGAAAAGCACAGCCGTTCCCGAGCCTTGACAACTTGCAGCCTTTTCAACGTGTCTTCACGTTTCCAGACAGGACACACGGAGACATAAACCACGCTGGAAAACAGAGAGCTCGAGCAAAAATGTTATTTCTCATTCCAGCTTCTTCTCCCCCAGGGTTTTATAAGCCAACATGAAGGCGTAAGTAGCAACTCCAACGTGTCTTCATACTGTCGGGTGGATAAGGGCAGAACCACCCTCCAAGTCCTGGCACAGATTTTCCCCCTCCTCACCTCCCCCAGACCCACCTCGACAGGAACCGCCACCGCCTGGGATGGGAATGAAAATGGAAAAGCTGAAGTGAGAAGAAAATGACAAAGAGTCTGACTTTAAAAGGGACAGGACACAGGGAAAGAAAGGTGGGGCTTAGCAAAATGGAAAAATTTCCATCTTAAGTTAAGAAGGTAAAAAATGGATCTATTATAAACTGCTGCTGGGCAGAGGGGTGGGAGCCCTGCAACCGCTGCCACAGGACGGAGCCGCCTGAACTTACACATTAAGGTAAACTAGAAAAACCACCATCAGGAAAGAGATTATTTAGTGCTACAAGTATTTCACCTCAAAAGTCAAAGGTTTGGGTGCTAACTTTTAGTAAAATAAGATTGTTTGGCACGTTATTATGCTTCCTTTCTTATTCCCATGCAGAACGGCGAAGTCCCTGCCCTCAGACACGTGGGGAGGGTGGAGGTGAGGATCCCA